ATGAAATTTATCCATTGGAAACTTTTCCAAAAGTCATTTGGTTTGATTTGAACTCCAAATGACGTGTTTCCTTGCCTTCCAAAGTTATCCACTCTCTTCAGAACCTTATCTGAATTTTATCTCTTATTCTGACGTAAATGGTTCGAATCAGAAAAATATGGTTCGAACCAAAATTGTAACTTTTCTGATTTTGATTTTCCGTAAATTGTTCGAAGCAGAAAAATGTGGTTCGAACCAAAATCGTAACTTTTTGGATTTTGATTTTCCGTAAATGATTCGAATCATATAATTATGATTCGAACCAAAGTTACACTTTCTCAAATGCATTCTGCGCAATTGCTTTGAATCAACTTTTTGTGATTCGAACCCCAATCCTGAAAATATTTTGAAAATTCTTTAACAAAAATTACCATTAGCAACAAGCCTTAGGTTGCTGAAAGTGCTATAGTACACCAATCCATGCAAAAAGCTGCCCCACTTTCACCAATACACTTCTTGTTGTTGAAAGTTACAGCAACTTTCAGCAACATACTCTATCTTGTTGATATTTTCCGATGGATTCTTTTCCATTTAAATGAGCTCCACTTTTCAGCAACGAGTTCCTTGTTGCTGAAATTCACTTTCAGCAACAAGAGATATGTTGCTGAAAAAGTTTTCAATTACTTTAAGTATTAGTAGCATATACCTTGTTGGTGTTGTTGCCTTTTTTTACCAATCAAATATCAGCAACAAGGGGTATGTTGCTGAAAGTGCCCTTGTTACTACCATCTCTGGCCGGCCACCCCTTGCACTTTCAACAACAAGGGACAGGTTGCTGAAAGTGTCCCTCTTTTGATCACCTCTTGCACTTTCAGCAACAAGCCTCTTGTTGCTAAAAGTGCTCCCAACCTTCGGCCCTCGCATACCAACCAATCCCAGTGACCGACGGGTGGTAGAATGAGATGCACTTTCAGCAACATGGTTCTTCTTGCTGAAAGTGAATTTCAGCAACAAGAGCCATGTTGCTGAAATTTTCTAAATTTTGCAATAACATTACCCACATATATCATATTACTTTTGATAATCACCTCTTCTAGCCGCTAATTAGCAACATGGATCATATGTTGGTGAAAGTGAGACAATTGCACCTTCTTGCTAAAAATCCTTTGACTGGTAGCTCATTCACCCTTTATATATACAACTTTCTCCTGCTAATATATACACTTCTCCCACGCTTCCTAATTTCTTGTTATTTCTCCCTCACTCTTGCAATTCACTTTTTTTATCTCCACATAATTATTTTTATATTATAATTTAAAAGTATTAATTTTTTTTAAATTTCAAAACTCTTTTTTTCTATTGCTTAATGGAAAGTCAACCAAATTTTAATAGTCAATTGAAAAGTCAAGAATATCTTGACAACCAATTGGAAAGTCAAGAATATTTTGACAACCAATTGGAAAGTCAAGAATATTTTGACAGCCAATATGATGGTATAACTTTTTTTTTTGTCCTTCCCTTATTTCTCATTTCCTGTTCGTTCACCCCATTTACTATCACATTATTTAACTTGATGTTATTTTACACATGAATAGTTGAGGATACTCCTGAATCATTATGGAATTGCCCATCTCAGAGTTCTCCCAATAGGAAATTAAAAAAAGCAAAAAATAATGTATCAATTGACCAACACATTCCATTGCCTAATATTGTAGACTACTCTGTTTGTCAAATATGTGATACTCCTGGACATTTAGCTACAGTTTGCCCGCATCGATATACTGTAACTTGTCAATTGTGTAACCGTCACGGTCATATTGCAAAAAGTTGCTCAAATCGTTATCGATCACCATTTCTATCACATCCACCCAATGCCCCTACTGAGTCCTCCGAAACAATTACAAAGATTTTTCCTAGTGGTAGCCGTCTTACCATAGAAAAAAAGTATTGGGATGCTACCATTCAAAAATTATGATCCATTGAAGAATCGTAGTATCATTGTCTTATGTTCTTCAAATATTTTTTTCAAGTTCTCTTATTTTCTTATGATTATCTTGTATATTTTGATATTACAATGTTTATTAATGATTTCTAAGTTTTTCTCATGTTGATTATTAAGAGTTTGCATGAAATTCTTTTACTTTGTCAACCCCAATTGTCCAAGAGTCCAATCTTACTTACTAAAGTCGATTGTAAAGGACTAAGAATCGACTCTCAACAGGAGAGTCGATTATATGAAGGAAAAAAATGCTACTAGAATTTGGTAGTCGACTCTTCACATAATACAGTCCACTCTAAAGCCAGAAGAGTCGACTCTACAATGAAGAGTCGACTCTACAATGAAGAGTCGACTTTGAGCTGTAGGAAAAGATTAAAGCACTTACTGGAATTTTGTAGTCGACTCTTCAAATCATAGGGTCGCCTCTAAAGCCAAAAGTGTCGACTCTATAATGGAGAGTCGACTAGGATCTGTAACAAATATATGACCAACATTCTAGAATTTGGTATTTGACTTTTCACATTATAGAGTCGACTCTTTTGGCAAAAAGAGTCAACTCTATATATGAATAGTCGACTATGAGATGTAGCAAATACATTTCCCGCTCACTGGAATTTGGGAGTTGACTCTTGATGCTTTATAGTCGACTCTCATAACCTGGAGAGTTGAATATGGACTGATATATTCGACTCTTAAGCCCATTTTTCTGGTTTTTCAGAATTTGCTTTTTTTTTTTTCAGCAACATCAACGGTATAATCTGTATTGACTGGAGTATAAGACATACATTACTATCAAATAAACTTCAAAATCCTTCTATATACAAGTAGGTCTCTCTCTCTCGTGGTTGTATTAATTTTAAAATTTAATATAATTTAAATTATAAAATTATAATATTTTATTTCAATTGTAAAAGCCCAAGACGTTGACGGTCTTTAGGGGAAGTACCTCTGGCTCATGTTAAAAAAAAATTAGAAAAATAACGAAAAAATTGGAAGGGAAAGACAGAAATCCCCCACCTTTCGAGGCAAGAAATGAAAAATAAAATGAAGTTGAAGTGC